TTTCTCAGAAAAAAATTACCAACTAGCAGGCCTCAGCACTGTCTGTATTACATTTTCATTAGACCTGCAGAGTTTGATGGGGAAATTAAAAACTGAAAGGACAGAGTCAGATGACTGACCCTGGATAACATCTAAGCAATTCAATCATGTCTTTCCCATTGCAGGCTTAGACAGCAGGATATCGTAACTCAAATCGATCTGTTTGCTGCTCTAGCTGATAATGGTCTGGCGCTGAATGAAAAATTTTATTATTATTACATGACTCAGACTCTCTGAACAGGCAGTTTAAGATATGAAAGTCTTCATTAGAGAATTAGATTAATAAATCGTATTTCTCTTGAGACACATTGTGTATTTGATTGTCAACACCCTGATTGAGGCTCACCAGGATACAGGGAGATCCACACTGAAACAGGTCTGAAGGTATCACCAGAAGACACATACTTGAAAATAACCTTTATATTTCTTTATACTTTTCTCTGAACTCATGTGTTGTAATAAAAAATACTGTGCTTCTAATACATGGCTGAACATAAACATTTTTTAGCCTTGCATGTAGATCATTTCCAGTGCTAGATGTTCACAGGAAGGCTATCCAGATAAAAATCTTACAGCAATAGTATGAGCCAAAGAGCATTGTTATCCCTATTTAACTGATGTGATAACTGAGGCAGAAACATATTGAACCTTTTGTCCAAGGTCACACAGTGAGGTCAGGAATGGAGCTAAAGCAGACTCCCACTCTTCCAGTTCACTGCTTTGCTTTAAACCAGCCAATCTCTCTTTCAGCTCTTTGTCACTGATGCAAAATTACAAAAGAATATTAATACGCTGTTACAATTAAAATTGCAAATCCCCTACATAAAAAGAAGGCAGGTTAGGATCAAAACCAAATTTATGAAAACCCCCCAGCAGACCCAGCCCATCAGCTGCAGAAATACTGCACCACATCATCCCATCATGTTAAAAATATTTCACAGCATAAGGCACTTGAGTAACTTTCAGTGTACTGCCACTCCTAACTAAAAGGAGTTAAGATTACTATAAATTACACAATCAGCCAGAAGCATGTAGCTTACACAAATTCCTTCAATCACGTTACAACCAACCTTTTCATTTGTGCATGAAGGAAGTTCAAAGAACAAAAAAAAGCAATAGATCCAATTTCTACAGTATTTTTCAAGTGTTTTATGAATAGAAAGTAATCACCTCGACAATTCCATGACAAAACATTACAAGCAGCTAATTCAACACAAGATGATGTGAAATGAAAGCTGTATCTTCAGATCTAAGTATTAGCAAAAGGCTTTTAAGTGCTTCAGAGGCCAAAAAACCACACAAACACCCATCAGTTGAAACATCCATGCAACTGAACTCAAGCAGTAACAGAATCCCCTGGACTATTTATCCTTGCTATGAAGCTGAGGTTTTCAGTGCTAACCTTTGCTTCCAGTTACATGTGAGACAACAAACACCTAAAGGCTCTTCACTATTTGCAGCAGTCCCACCCACATTTTCTTCCCTGTCCTCAACTCAGCGTGGAAGAATCTTTGGTGTTTTTGGATAAGGCATGCTGTGCTACATTTACCCCATGGTGCACTCCCATTTCTCAAGAAGAAACATAACTTCTTTTCTATTTAACTTTGGTTGCAGTTAGCAACTCTTATTTCCAAGCGAGTGTGCACTGAAGTTCAAGTTAATTGACTTATCAAGTCCTCCTACCAGCTTTCTAGATCAGCTGCCTTTTTACCACAGGTGTATTTTTTTTTTCTCTCAACTTCAGAACCACACCAGCGAAGAGAGTGAGATAACAGCACCCAGCATGAAATACACAGTTTGATAATCTACTTAACAAGATTTGATAAGGTGGCATGATTTTGAAAAAGGGCTCAGTCAATTCAGAAACCATAGAAAATCTGTGGAACTCAGTCATTTCAGAAATCCCATTCCTACTCAGAATTCAAATATCTAAATAGACGTGTTCCACTGCTCATAGGGTCTTGATATCTCACACCTCCTCACTTTTGGGTCTTAGGAGAGAGTGGGGCTTCCCTGAGAAGTTTAAGACTGGTGTGAAACTGAGACTTTTTTTTTTTTTGAACAGCACATGATAATTTTGTAAAGAGCAATATTTTCAAGATAGGCATCAGAACAGCCTGTTAACTTTTTATAGAGTTGCTGCAACAATATGTAAGGCATGAATATTTATTTATAATAGCAGATGTGGAGAGTCTTTCATTTCTGTGCCTCCACATCAACTACCAAGAAGCCTTCCAGGAAAGAGAGATCAAGGTGCAGAGGGATGTCGAGAGTAAGCTACATGATCCGTCTGAGGTCTGGCTGCAAAAATAAACTACAGGCCTGCAACCAGAAGACAAGACAACCACCACAGCTGATCTGAAAGTACAGAGAGGCCTCAGTTGAGGCCACCATAACCAGAAAAAATCTGGCTGTGCTGCAGAAGGCTAAGCTATGTATGATTAAAGATTCTGACAGTTCACCAAGAGTGCAACAACCCAGACAGCCATTCATCAGCAATGTACCACTTTAAAATGAGAATGCAGGAAGCAGCAGGATCTGCAGAAAAACATTTCTCATTGTCCATTCTCTATCCAACAGGGACACACACACACACACACACACACACACACACACACACACACCCCAAGACCACGAACTGTGACGCCGATCCGCTCAATCAAGTCAGGGACAGTAATTTTGAGAGTAAGAACAGCTAGCACAGGTCATTACATACAAATATCTTTACCCAACTTTCCAGATTTCATAAGTTATTCATATTCTCCTACAAAGAAGCTCAGAACAGGTTTCTGGTTAGCAGCCTTCCCCTAATACCACCCAAGACGTTTTAATAAAGAATTTCAAAGCTGTATTATAACGAAGGATATTTTTGGCAGAGAGCCTTACTGACCTGCGGTGCTAACAAAATATTACCCAGTTATAGAAAATAGCACGAAGTTCTACTTCATTTTTAGCACTGTATACTTGGTATAAATTGCTAGCTTATTAAAGTCTAGTGCTCAAAACGGAACAACTCTGATTCTTTCTTCAGCCTTAATGAGAGACTTGGACAAAAACTGAATTTATTTCTAATCAACATCTTGCTTTGATTTAGCAAAATATGGATCACATCTCTTTGGATGCCTTTTATAAAAGAAGCGTGTCCCAGTCATCTCCCTGCAAAACCAAGAACAGACTTAGAGTGCTGCTGACAATCAGATCCAATTGCAACACATGACTTGCCACAGAGTGGTTATTACATTTGCGACGTAGCTGAGATATAATTCACAGCACACGTGACTGAGAGCAATTCATTACGTAAGTCAAATTCCAGTTCCTTTACTAACTTTAAACACGACTTTGCTTTGAAAGTAATCACTGTGATCTCAATACTACTAAATGGAAAATACTTAACAGGAGCCAGAATGACTCAGATACATTCTGTACTATAGCTACAAACTTTTCTTCACTTGTATTTCTAAATAGGTTGTACACACACCAGGACTTAGCATATATAAACAGGTGAAAAAAAATACAGATAGATCCAGATCTCCTAGTCACAATACATTATTTGCATGACACATTTACTTTAACCACTAGAACATCAAGTGCACCGTATCTTAAAGGTCCCTCCATCACGGTCTTTTTCAACCTCGGTGATTTTATGATTCTATGATAACCTTGCTACATAATGCAACTCCAATGTGGCTTCTGATACCTTTATTTGAGACAGATATTTTCACTGTAAGTTCATTGGGGAGTTTCACTGACTACACAGGTTATGAATGACAGAAGGCCACTGAAATACTCAGTCACTTCTTCCTCAAGGACAAGCCAGTAACACAGTCTGAAGAGACACACATTTCAGGCAAAGATCACTCTTGAAAACAGGCACAGTCACTGCACATGCACTTTACATGCTTGAAGAGTCAATTAGCTTGAAATTCTGATAGAAAACAGCATACAGAAATACTAAACACAGCTGCCTATCTTCCAAACATACATTAGTGCAACTGCTGTGAAGATGGTGTCCAAAAGTTGCAGGTTATACTCTGTTTACAAGATGCTAACTGAACAGAGGAACATTTGTAACATTCAGTGTGATCAAACAGAAGGGGAAGACAGGTTTGGACAATGCCTTTAGCTTATACTTCTCCAGATCTGAAGAGAAATATATCCCAAACAAATTACAGTACCAGTAAAAATCTTCATGATCCCCCCCCCCCATGGAAACTGTTAAACTCACCCAGCCTGCAACTAAAACATGAAATTATAATATCTATTTATAATTGTAATATCTAATTTCATTGCCTCCCTCTTGATATTTCTCCTTGTGGCTTCTGTGTGGTACGTTAGCATTTGCTATTTAAAAAAAAAATGGCAAACCTTTTGAGACAGCGTTTATGCTTGTTTTATGCTCGTCTCCAGACTGCTTACAGTATCATGCATATCCAATTACTTACCTCAAGAAATTAAAAATAAAAGCTGGAACTATTAGCATAACAAACAGCTACAGTAAGATTTGCATTTTTTTGTTTCCTTACAAAAGCCACAGAAACTGTTTCTTCTTTTATAGTTTTGTCTTAGAACAATGCTACAGACTGTAGTGCACTAACAACTGATTTCCACGGGCATACAACAATAATAACCATTTGTTCCAGCTCTCAAGACTTGTGCTAGAATACTTACACATCTCTAACAATGGATAACTTTATTTTCACATAAATATTACCATCATAGTATTTTATCATCTGTTTTAGGTAAGACTGAAGAAATCACTAGTGAATTTGCAAACTGATCCGAAGTCTAGCATTTCACTTCCATAATGTGATGCTCACATGTTTTGAGGAAATGCAGCAGGTATATGGCAGTCATACCACACTGTAATGTTTCAGTTCACATAGATTTCAATTCATAGACACTGCATCTTCTTTTTTTTTTTTTTTTTTTCAGCATTCCTTATCACTCAAGCAAGTACTTACAGGGTCAGAAGGACCACAGAAGTCTCTGAACACTTTTGGAAGTTCAGGCTGTATAATCTCCATTGCTATGCAAGGGCCTGAGCACAACTCTGTAACCATCTCCTGGAAAAGAAAAAAGACCAAAACAAATCTGAGCTTTCAGCACTATGGAGGGTTGCATTCCCCCAAAAAACTTGATCCAAACATACCAGATAGGAAAGAAAAAAAGAAATACTGGTGGATTTAGGAAAGCAAAGATGTGAAGCAAAGATATCATTTGTATTCATAAATACATATATACATAAATACATATATATATAGCACATTTTGTAACTTAGTTTACGTGGTGGAGATGGAGATAAATTGAATATTCTATCTCTGGGATACTGAACAATGTGCAACAGTATCCACAATACTTTAAATTCTTTTACAGGTGCATTCTTACTAATCTTGACTTGTATTTCACAGAACTGCCTCATAACTTGTCAGTCTAAACTGAATCAATACTACACTTTGCAAGGCATAAGTGTGAAAAATGACACCATGTTGAGCAAGTTCTACAGACATCATGTTTAACAACATTTCCTATAGGAAGCACAGGACACAGCCTATATTTGATGGCTTAAAGTCAAGAAAACATCTCTTGGGCTTTTGGTTCTGTCATTTATTTGTGTATTATGGAAGCTGAAACACACAGGACAAAAGAACCAGGAATTTAAATTGAAAGGAGTGCATGGCACATCATTTCAGGAAAAAGATCCTTGATCTGGCAGTATTTCTTGTGTATGCTCTTACCAGAATCTCGGTTACACTGAAATAAACCTTTTTGCTGGAGCCTCCTGAAGCGTAAAGAGATATCCTCAAGTCCTCAGTAGATGATAAATACAGGTTTTTAGTTTTTGCAAGCTTAGGCTATCTCCAGACATTAGTGCCAATTTAGAGTTTGTCAATTAGAGGCATAGATTTCAGAAGCAGAAATATGCTACCTTAGTCTAAATTGATTTAAAAAACAAACAAACAAACAAACAAAAAAAAAAACCCTGCCTTTATAATTTCATTCTTGTCCACCAGAAATTTGGGCAGGCAAGTTTTAAAGAAATAAGGGCAACTAAAAGAACTAAAGTCACTGAGGAAAGAGAAAAGAAGAAAACATTCACAAGAAATCAGAGAGAATAGGGAGTAGTGCACAAGGTGCAACCAAGCTCACCAGCTCTGCACAGGTCAAGGATGAGCAGAGAACAAGAAGAGAAGCAGAGAACAAGAGCATCAAGAGCAGGCAAAAAGCACTAGGAAAACAATGGAGTCCACCTCTGCATTTTATGAAGTATGACAGAAATGAAATACTCAAAAGAACCCAAGTCAAGCAACACTGTTCCAAAGAGTTGCTATCTTTATAATAAATATCATGTTAGGAGCACATGCTTCATCTTAGCACTGTGACATGAATAGACAGAATTTTAGCCAAGTGCCTCTATCATTAACCTGCTCCCAGCAAATGTAGATAGAAATATTCTTGAGAGCACGTGAGTAGAGTGCAGGCTAGTTTCATGCTTTACGACAAAATAATACATATTTCCCTTCTAAAAAAGGCCTCATCACCTTTTCCTCTTTGGTAGGACTTGTAATTTAATTACAGCTAAATTAATTTTTTTTTAGCAAATGATTTATTCATCAGATAATGTGGCTAGTGGTCAACCAAGACCATTCTTGAAACTGGATGAAGTTCAAGCATTTTTTATTAATAAGGTGAATTTGGAGCTAGCACAGAATCTTCCTCCTTTTTATCAGTAAGCAAAATCCTATGTAGAATCCATTGATTAGAGGAGATACCAACAAACCTAATTTTTTTTTTTTTTCAATTTAGCAACTGTTCAGCATTTTTTTCTAACAGATATATGTTTTATGTACAATACATCAAGCCTTCACCTGACTGTAAAAGTGTAACCAGAAGAAATAAGAATACGTTTTCTGAAGAAGACTTCTGGATGATGAGTATCTTCCTCTTCTGCACCAACTTATTTTAAAATGATAAATAAAATTCAGATCAAAACAGACGGTTCTGAGTTACAGATATAAGAGGTCATATTCTTTCTTCAGTTCCTTATTTCAAAATGTACTTCTTCCTATTTGGCCTGCACTGACAATATCTACTGCTGTTTCCATATGTGTCTTTTCTGGATGTCTTCACCATCACGATCAGCTTTCCCACATTATCCTGTTTCACAAATAAGCCGAGTGCGTGAAGATAACCCCTTAATTTCAACTAAGTGTGTCAAGCACATGTGGCTTTCAGGACGGAGCCCCAGATTCTCACTTGAAATCCCATCTGAAACAGATTTCCTTATTTACTTATCCAGCTTAAATGTCACGTTCCCTTCTGAGTAACTTTTCAGACAAAGTATGTAACTTTACCACTTTTCTGAGGGTCAGAGCATATACCAAACAGCAGAAAATGATAGAGACTATCAAATTTGGTTCAATTTGTATTTTTATAATACCAGAGGATTCTCTGGGTCTTGAAATACCAGTCAGGCACTACCACATCTGAGTTCTGTAACTCACCTTCAAGTCTGTCTGTCCAGTCTTATATGAGTTCCTGGCACAAAGGATGTTAGTAGAGGAAATTTTGTAAGTATTCATCAATCTGACAGCAAACAAACAGCATCCCTAAACTATATGAAGAGGAATCTATAAACCCTGTTGAAGTTGACTAAACAATCATAAAGGAAAGAAAAAGTCACATTGTCAGAGTACTATTAGTAATTGTCTGGAATAATAGAAGTAACTGAGTAGAAATCTTTTAATAATTTAACTATTTATAAATTAAGGATAATTTGCATGGTACATATCATGGCAGTGAAAAGAAAATCATTACTAATTGTAAAATGAATAAAGGTTATAGGGAAACACCAAGTTGTCTTCCTGATTCCTGTTGTTCTATCTGCCATTAGGAGGCTTTATACTGCAATACAACAAACCATAGTAATATCATGTGATCTTAGATGCCCCTAGGATTACACTATATCTTAAATTTCTTAAATTTTCTGAAGATCCACAGAAGCCAGATCAATAAACTGAAGAACAGCTCAGAACATCACTAGGAAACATTCCAGTATAGCAGCCCCACTGTAAACAAAACAAGACATACTTATTCTGGTACAAGCTACAAGCAATATCAAACTGACCAAAGATGTATATGCTATATATAAATATGTATATATACATAAAATGTGTGTGTGTGATACATAGTTCTACCACAATAAAATAATTTACCTGAGGGCTTCTTTCTCTCTGTTGTATTTTACAAATTACTTAGTTCAGTAATTCCCACAAAGGATACTCCTTTCTTACAAGATAGGCAGCACAATTTTGGATATGACATACATTTTATTTCAGAACAAGTTAGAATTGGACAAAACCAAGTTCCTAGAGGAAGTATTATCACAGTCTCACGATGGGCAGATGTGACCACTTCCTTGTTTAATCATGTTTTATTTATAAATAGAGACTTTTCAAATTTATGCTTACCATATATTCAGCAACAACACCTTTGTAAATCTCATAAAACTCTTCCACATTTGCACGCTCCATGTTGAACTATGAAAATAAAAAGTGTTAGTCATTCACATTAAATGGAAAAAAATGGATAGCCCTTCATAACCATCAAGAATTCAGAATGCTATTCTAAGTTCCACCCAGTAAAAGAAATGGCTTTACAACTGTAATATGTTTACCATCCTTTTAGCCAATGGTCCCACACGCAAAAGAGCATAAAGTACCTTCTTCTACCTTAAACATCAGTAGACAATGTACTTCATTTGTAGTGTTGGCTAATGCCACTAAGATCTACAAGAGGATCTGTTTGTTGCATAGGAAAGAGAAGAAACTAGTCTTCATTTCTGGAGTATTTGAATCACAAGGAGATTTCAGATCTGAAGACTTTCAGAAAACACAAAAGGCAGTTCTTATAGGGCTACTCTCAGGAACAATCTCTGTCCAATTCCCTTTAAATTCTGCTGGTGATGAGGATGTCAATCTTTGAAGTGTCTTCAAAAACTCTCCTATAAGTTCACACTAACTGTAAGTTTAAAGACTTGTAGGATGTTAACAATCTTTTCCCTAATCCTAACTAGTTCAGTTTTCAAAAGATATCTTAAGTGTTCCAGAAAACATCAGCATCACTATGCCCCTTCTAGCCATGTGAAACTGAAACACAGAGATGAAGTCTCTCCAGTCATGGTTGAACAGCAAGGGGAAACAGATCAGCTGATCAACCAAACAATAAAATACAAATATAACAAAGGCAGCACTGATCCTAAAACATAACTACACAGCTGGTACGAGGGTTTTGTATTTCAGGAAGTCATCTCTGAATTGCTGTCAAGTGCATATAGCACAGTTCCAGCCTCTGTTTATAAAAAAGATAAAGACAAAAGAAAACCTACCATCTGCAAAGCCGAGATCTGAAATCCTTCATTGATGATGGCTTTTATAATCTTTCCAGCTAGTCCTGAAAAAACATACAAAGTACAGTACTCAAACAAAAGAAGTTAGAATTCTAAAGTATTTATGCTGCCATAACAGTTAAGCCAGTGTCTATGCAAAGCTATGAAAAGAAGCAGGGGGCAAAGCTCCCTATCTAAATACTCTATATTTATGAAATTATAATATTTTTATTCTCTATCTAAAATGATGCAGTAATAATTTTGAACAAGTAAATTCTATTCAACTGCTGAAAAATGATTAATTAGGCTCTAGCCAAAAAGGTTGCTGGTGAAGTCTTTTTTTTTTTTCCTGAGATACCCAGTAACTTCAAAATCAAGATTTACATCCATACTGAAGTTCCAATACCAATATTTGTAGCTTAAGCAGTAATCAATTCAGGGCATAGGCTACCTATTTTGCAGTCTTACACAGTGCTCACCAGAGCTGGATCCAAGTTTGAATTAGAAACAATGCAGAACGATAATAAATATCAGCACAGAAGTTCATGTCACTATGTGAAAAGCACAGTGAAAAACAGCCCACTGCTTCTGAGGTTCTAACTCACAAATATGTTACTGCTGATCATACTATTTTATGCTATGAATATATGCTCAAAGACCCAATGACACTGAAAAGGAACAAAATTAATGTAATAAAATATTAATATAGAAGAACAAGAACCACTGATTTTCCACTGAATGCGCGTTTCAGATTGCCTGCACTTATACTAATCATGCCATTTGAAAGATCGTGGCAGCTAAGCACAGTACTCCGTTATTTGAGAATTGTAGAGCATTCCTGTTTTTACATAACAAAACTGTCTGCCCTCTAGTACAAACTGTGAGCAACTACAAATTTCTGGACATTGATTCAGAGCAGAGTATTCTGTAATGAATTACAACAGCAAAATTTGACTCTTAATCATTGAATCCTTTTATTAACTAGTCTTTAAGCTGAAAGTTTTTTTTAAATAACATTGCATAAATTCAGTAAATGAAAATAAAATAAAGCTGATATCTCAGTCCTAGCACACTCGAGACCTGAATTGTATACTGTCTGCTAATACCTGCAGCACACAATTGTAAGCTTCCTACACATTAAAAGGTCAGAAGAAGTTCTGAATAAACAAAATAGATACCTGGAAAGAATCATAGAATGACCTGGGTTGAAAAGGACCACAATGATTATGTAAGTTTCAACCCCCCTGCTATATGCAGGGTCGCCAACCAGCAGACCAGGCTGCCCAGAGCCACATCCAGCCTGGCCTTGAATGCCTCCAGGGATGGGGCATCCACAGCCTCCTTGGGCAACCTGTTCAGTGTGTCACCACCTCTGTGTGAAAAACTTCCTCCTAATATCTAACTTAAACCTCCCTTGTCTCAGTTTAAAACCATTCCCCCTTGTCTTACCACTATCCACTCTCATAAACATTTGTTCCCCCTCCTGTTCATATGCTTCCTTCAAGTACTGGAAGCCACAGTGAGGTCTCCCCAGAGCCTTCTCCAAGCTAAACAAGCCCAGTTCCATCAACCTTTCCTCATAGGAGAGGTGCTCCAGCCTCTGATCATCTTAGCTTTTAAAGAAGTGTTTTTTACAAATGAAAATGAAAAGACTTGTGCCTGAAGTATCCACCACAGCATTTTTTAAATCAAGGCTCATGTAAAACCACCTTCCCCCTATAAAATGGCACAATTTTTTTTTTTTTTTTAAATATTTAAACTGCTAAAGGGAGTGCCTGAGATTTGGGTATGTATTCAGTGCATGCAGCTCTTGGGGCTTACAGAACAAGTGGAGGTGAGTGCAATTCCTGTTGTCAAAATATACTGTTACATCGTGGCTCACTTGCACTGATAAAAATTTCCTTTTAACGCTCACGTAAAGCTAGAAAAATATGTTTTCCCTATTTTTCAAAGGAAGTTTTTAAAAAATGCAGCAGCAAAATGAAGAGACTAAGAAATTTACACAGTAAGCACAAGACTATATAAAAAAGGAAAACACCTCTAGTTTCTTTTTGTCCACGCTACAGAAAAGGTTGACCAACCCAGTGCATCTACACAAAGGTCTCAGGGAAGCAGCAAGCCTGTAATTGTGACTTCAGAGATGAAAGGCCAGCTTGGGAATCCCTCCAGGAAATAAAGAAATAAATAAGTAATCTGCAGCAAAGCATAAAAACTTCCTCATTCTCAGTCTTCAGATACAATATTCCAGTTAACAGCCACTGGCTTATGAGAAATCAAAGACGGAAGAAGGGACAGTGCCAGGCAAAGGGCAGTCAAGGTTACGTTGATATGAGAAAGCTGCTTGGCCCAACAGCTGCCCTTCTCCATTTTACACTCTGTCAGTAAAGAATAGCCCGCTTGGACAGGCCTTCACAGCTGGCAAGAACACTAAAATACTCATCAAGTATCAGGTTCTGAGGTACCAGGGGAATCTGATTTTTTAGAATTTTATCCTCGACCGTTTTACACACTGTAAGCAAAATTCCTCTTTTAGACTTAAATATTCAGTTTTCTGGGCTGCTCCTCCACTGAAGTGTTAAGATTTTTCTTCTCTGTAGAGATGGGACAGGCTTCTTTAGTGATAGAAGTCAAATAAAGTAAGAACATTATTTGCAAAATGGTCTTTAATACAAGATTAGTTTAATATTTAACCGTGATAAACCCATTGAGATTGTCCAGTACCTTTATTTCTGACTTCACTCTCACTCAAAGACACAGAGTGCCAGAACTGCAGCATTAAAAAGGCTTAACCACAAAAATCACTGTCACCATTGCTCACAGACAGATGTCTCTCTCTCTATAGAGATATGTAAAGGGGGAATGGCTGTTAATATATTACCTATATTATATACTACAAATATTAAAATATATAAAAACATAAATACAATAGTATACATAATGATATATATTATATATAATACATAATTATATAATGTATACTTTTAATATATTTATATATAATTTTTTTGTTTATCTATCTATCTATTTACAGGGGTGAATGGTTTTAAATTGAGACAGGGGAAGTTTAGGCTAGATATTAAGAGAAAGTTTTTCCACACAGAGGGTGTTGACACACTGGAACAGGTTACCCACGGAGGCTGTGGATGCCCCATCCCTGGAGGCATTCAAGGCCAGGCTGGATATGGCTCTAGGCAACTTGGTCCAGTGGTTAGAGACCCTGCATGTAGCAGGGGCTTGAAACTAGATGATCATTTTAGTCCTTTTCAGCCCAGGTCATTCTATGACTCTATATGAATATGTATATACCATATAATCTCTTTGAGAGAGTCATGAGATTTCATTTATGCTTGCAAAACAAGATGTTAGCTCCACTTCCCAAAGGCAGGAATCAAGGCACAGGAGGATATATGCGCTGTGAGCCTCCACTTGGCCTCCACTGTCTCAATCTAGGCAACACATGCATCACTTCTCCCAGCGACGCCTTCTTTTTAAATTCTATCGCCCCAAATAGGAACAAAAAAACAAAGGCCATCCTGAAGCAGATGAAACGCACAAGCTCAAGGTTCAGCCTGAGATGTCTCTGGCTTTCAGCCAATTACATGACTGAATTGGGACGTATGCTCTCCTTTGTGGGCAGATAAGGCCAAGGAAAAGAAGAACTAATTAGACAAAGTGTTATTTCAGCAGCTTTTCACAACGTGTTTTCAACTTTAAAATCCAGATATGTCATGGAAAAACAACTTTTTCAACTTTTTAAGGACCCTCCAAAAAGGGCCAGTGCATGTTTAAAATGCGATTACAGTAAGAACCCAAATCAAAGCTGCAGATTAGGCGCTAATTATGATGAATTTTTAATCGCAACACACCAAAGAATCACAAGTATTACTAAATACAACCAGGGAATTTAATACTAATCCTTACAAATGACAGAAAGAGGGAGGGAGCACTAAGTCTCCTAGAAAGCATTGTTACTATGCAAATTACACTGGACAAATAATCTTCCAACAGAGTTTAATCAGATGAAATGATAAGATCTCATCAGTGACACTTTTCTGCAACACAACATTTGAAAATCGCACTCCATTAAGGAACAGAAAATATCAGGGAAGACATCAGACTGAAAAAAAGCTACAACTTCTTGCAGAATTATGGATTGGAATAAAAATAAAACAGTTCACAAAAGTCACCTAACAGCACTTTAATTAATGGGATGTAGCAGCTGTGTTCCTGGGATCTGCCAGTCCCAGGCACTACCAACCACCAGCCCTATGACTAAGAACATTACATTCTCTTCCCTTTGTTCTTGGCCCATTTCCCAATGTAACCACTCCACTGTTAAAAGCTTATTAAGGAAGACAGTCTGCCTTCAAAGCAAGTCAGGCATCTCAGTCTCGATGCTTCATTTACTTATTACCCTTCCAATAATTGAAAATAATTCCTCAGGAACAATAGAAGATTTTTCACATGAATACATAACCTGCCATCAGCAATGATATCAATGATCTACCTAATCCAATAACGTATTTCCAGAGGCAACCAATACAACACACTTAAATTAGCACCAAGTAGCTACTCATTTTGTGTCTGGCTTTTTTTGACATTTGGAAATGCATTTCTGCTTCACATTATAATGAAAAGAAAAAGGTTATCTTATTCTTTGCTGCCAAGATTTAAGCTTCTATCCCAGAGGATCATCAGGTTTGGCTCTAAACAGTCTTTTTTTTCCCCTCCATTTCAAAAGAAGAGAACGAGGGACTCAGAGCTGGGCCTTCTTGAAATGTATTTCAGCCATAGGTCAACAGTGCTCCAGAGAACAAATTTTATTGGTCCCTTCTCTTATTTTCTACTGAAAAATAATGCAACTCTGAGCATTCTTATTAAGCAGTGCGGATACAATTTCTAAACACCCCAAACCACAATCACAGTGATAGCCCGCGGCTACTGATCTTCCAGCCTCACTGTGCACTGTATGAAAAAGGATTTCCAGATGTTTTTTATTTGCTTTATTCTGGAGCACCAAAAAGCGGACTACAGGGGGAAAGATGATCTTATGAGTGACCCACAT